AGGTGCTAAGTAGTGCTAGGTGGGTGCAAAAGAGTGCTAAAAAATTGGACCTATTGGAAAAACGGAGGGAGCTCGCTTTACATCACCCCTCCCCCTCCGCCGATGAAAATGTCCTATAACTGGCTCGGAGTTATGATGCTAGCTCTGTAAGTTGGTAATGCTAGGTGGGGAAAAAATGGGACCTATTGGAAAAACGGGGGGGGGGGGAAGGGCTCGCGTCACATTAGCCCTCCACAGTGAAAATGTCCTATAAATAACTCGCTGGGGGATGCGGTGCTAGCTCTATACGTTGGGTGCTAGATAGTGCTAGGTGGGTGCAATAGGGTGCTAAAAAATTGGACCTGTTGGAAAACCGGGGGGCTCGCGTTACATTAGCCCCCCCCCCCCCCGCGGTGAAAATGTTCTATAACTCGAAGGGGGGTGTGGTGCTAGCCCTGTAAGTTGGGTGCTAGGTGGGTGCAATAGGGTGCTAATAAAATGGGACCTATTGGAAAAACGGGCGGTGGGAGGGGGCTCGCGTTACATTAGCCCCCCCCCCCCCCCGGTGAAAATGTTCTATAACTCGAAGAGGGATGTGGTGCTAGCCCCGTAAGTTGGGTGCTAGGTGGGTGCAATGGGGTGCTAAAAAATTGGACCTGTTGGAAACCGGGGGGGGGGGGGGCTCGCGTTACATTAGCCCCCCCCCCGGTGAAAATGTTCTATAACTCGCTAGGGGGTGAGGTGCTAGCTCTGTAAGTTGGGTGCTAGGTGGGTGCAATAGGGTGCTAAAAAATTGGACCTGTTGGAAAACCGGGGGGGGGGGGGGGGGGGGGGGCTCGCGTTACTTTAGCTTTCCCCGGTGAAAATGTCCTATAACTCGCTGGGGGATGTGGTGCTAGCTCTATAAGTTGGGTGCTAGGTAGTGCTAGGTGGGTGCAATAGGGTGCTAAAAAATTGGACCTGTTGGAAAACCGGGGGGGGCTCGCGTTACATTAGCCCCCCCGGTGAAAATGTTCTATAACTCGGTAGGGGATGTGGTGCTAGCTCTGTAAGTTGGGTGCTAGGTGGTGCTAGGTGGGTGCAATAGGGTGCTAAAATATTGAGCTTATTGGGAAACCGGGGGAGGGCTAGTGTAACGGACCCTTTTGCCTTCCTTTTTTTAACAAACAGCAATTGACTGAAACAAATCCAATGACGTCAAAAACGTTCATCGGTTCTTAAACCAAGTTATGGCGTGTTCGTTCGATGTCAGAAGTATGAACCTGAGGCAATTTCGCCTGTTTGGTGTTTGGTAACCCAGTTTGGCCGTCACAACAACTTTGGTAGGCGCTTTGGTCTGTCAAATGCTATACCGCGGTTGACTGCGGTTTGTAACTGGGTAGTGGAGGTTTGGTAGCTTTCCGTCTCTTTCTGTCCCATGCTGCTATAGCTCAAGTAGCCCCGAAGAAAAAGGAATTTGAGCTGGTCTCTTAAAGCATTTAATAGTAAATTAGCAATACACGTAGGCAGCGAGTCCTTTCTCACCTTGACGTAGGGTGTTTGCACCACAGGCTATGATTCCGCGGGCTTTTGCTTTATGCATACTTGGTTTCACTACATTTAACATTCTATTCAATAAAATTCTAAACTACGACCGCTGTCGCAAACAAATGACGACTTAGTTAATGACGTCGATAATGGTGCTACACTATAGCTGCTTACGGAAACACTGATCTAGGAGTTCGATTAGTATCAGCTGTTCAAGATTTAGGGCCGTTTCCACCAACTATTTTAGGGAAGCCTTAACAATAAGTATTCCCTAAACTGACACTTTTCCATGGAGAAATGTCAGTTTAGGGGATACTTATCGTTCAGGCTTCCCTAAAATAGTTGGTGGAAACCAAGGATAGTAAACTATCTAGGTGAAGCAAGTTTAATTTCCGAACGGATGGATCCGCAGATGAAATAATGAATCTAGGGCTTTTTGCTGTTGAAGCAGGCCCGTAGCTAGAGGGGGGCCAGAGTGGGCAATGCCCACTCTGAAAGAAAAAGTTGCCCACTCTAGAGTAGACTAGAAAAAAATATATATAATATAGGAAAAAAAAAACATAAAATCACAAAGCAAATTATGTGATTTAATTTCTGTTTTCCCGGATAATATTATCAATGCTTTTATAAACTCCAATTATTTTGAAAATGTTTACGCATATTTTACCTTAAGATGGGTGGGACATTTGAAATCTGTTACTTCTGTGCTCTTATTGGTTGATTTTTTAAAATTCTTCGGCAAAGAGAAAAAAAAATTAAAACAGAAATGGCTCAAAATTGGCATAAATATTCTTTGATCTACAGTCCGAATATTTCGGTTTTTCGATATTTTGCGAGATTTTAGAAATAATCCATAACGACTATGGGCAACCAGGGCTGGGACTCTATAATGGATAGAGATCGTTATCCCTATCGCTATGGTACTTGCTATCTTCTTCTCTCTCTTGGAAATCAATACAGAGGGAACATCAATAGAGAAAAAATCTCTATTCATTAGAGAGTCCTAGTCCAGATATACACTTTCCATTTCGAGAAAAACGCAAATTATCGAAAAACTAAAATATTCGGATTGTACATAATCCATCAAAGAATGTTTATGCCACTTTTGAGCCAATTCTGATGTGAGTTTTTCTTTCTTTTTGCAGACGCATTTTAAAAAATCCACATAGGACTGACAGATTTCAATGTCATTAGCGCCCCTTCAAGAGCGCTCTTATGTATTTTTATTATTTCTTTGTGTTTTGTTAAGCTTTTATATTTCATAATCAGTTATTATGTACTTTGGAAAGTAAAGTTTTTGCACTTTGTCCGTGATTTTGAGTAATGCTGAAAAAAAAAAAATAAGTTTGCCCCCTCTAAATTTTCGGTTGCCCCCTCTGGAATCAAAACCTGGCTACAGGCCTGTGTTGAAGATGTCTGTCACATTTATTTCCAAGGCAAAACAATCAACAAATAACTAAAAAGTTGGGTTAAGAAAAACCGCTGACGGCTACCAATCCTATTTATCCCGCATTTTGGGCAATTTTTTACGAGGATCAAGTATAATCGATTTTGCTGGAGTATGTGATGTTTATACTCCCCTAACTCCCCCATCATCATATTCTGGGATACTCGAAGATCAAGAACACTTAATTTCTTCTGTGAGAACTGACCCAAAATCACCTTTTCTACATTTAAAATCGACCAAAAAATTAACTCACTAGCACAGCCTGAATCGCGAGCATTCCATCGAGGTCTGCGGGTGACGCCATCACCATAAGCTGCTGATCGTGACGTCACTCGCAGGCCCAAAATTTGATGGGAAGGAGCATAATCAGATTATGCTATGCTTGATTATCCTCGCGAAAAATTACCTTTTTATCAGGGTCAATATGAGATCCAAACATATGATACTGAATCGAACAACCCGATCACTTTCCGTACAAGAGTGATCTGATCCTAGACCCTTTCCATACGTCGAGATATAGACTGTGAGATAGGGACTGTTTAGTGGAGTCATTTTTTTTTGTCTGGCATTTTGAGAGCTGAATGTGGCTAGTAAGTTGATGAGAATATGGGTGATTTTAATGCCTGCCTCCCGTTTGAAAATTTGCAGAAGAAAAAAATTGATTTACATGAAGAATTTTTTATCAATGTTCTCAAATTTTCTGGCTTCTAAATAAAAGATTGACATTAATAAATAATTCACCCATGAAAAATACATGCTTTTCAATAGCTGAAAAAGTAGGGATGGGTGTCAACTTCCAAGAGAAAAGAAAAGAACCTTCCGCGTTTATTTTTTGTGTGGCAATCGAGAGAATAAAAGGTTTTGTTGTGAAAATAACGCTGAAAAATCGCCAGACGGTAATCACAGTTCGGAATCGAGTTTTCCGGCGAAACATTCTGTGGACATTTCGAACAGGGGGCAGGCATTAAAACCACTTATATTCTCATCAGCTAACTAACCACATTCAGCCCTCAAAATGCCAGACAAAAAAATGACTCCACTAAACAGGCCCTATCTCAGGGTCTAATTGGTAATCTTGTGATCGGGTTAATCCGATCATAGTTTCCGTGAGCAGCTCATATAACCGCAATTACCAAAAACGAGGCCGATAAGCAATCATTAGTAGTGTGTATTATCGTATGATCCGTACTTGCGGACACCTTTTAGTTACAGTTCTTTGTAAACAGTTGAACTAGAGTCACTTCTGGATCCATTCTGATCCATGTTCTACTGTTTCTGGAAATTCACCCACAAATTCGGAATGTATTTGCGAACAGGTAAAGCAGATGCAGTCCTCTAAATTAGTTTATTGGGCCCTAAAGCTTCTGGGTTATCGAACGCATTATATAATTCAAGAGCAGGTTTTTGAAAACGCTATGCGGCCCATAGAGCAAAAAGTTGTATTCCTTTCAAGAGTTTGAAACACTCGAGCTACTCGCTCCGGTGTTTAGTAGCCCCCGATTTGCAGCAGGGAACATATGCGTGGTACGACAAACACTTTTCGAAAGGAATAAGCGCGTGAAGCCCCGGAGCTGTTCCGGAGCTCCTTCTAGATGTGAAAGGAATACAACTAATGTGTCAAACAAACAAAATCGAAAATCGAAAAACAGTGAGTTTTCGGTTCGGTGTTCGGCGAATTCGGCGATACACAGCAGTTTACAAAACTGGTTATAGGAATCGATGTCGGATGTGGTTAGAGATTTTGAGAAATTTTGTGTGCAACTATAGCAGTCGACGAGAATTTCATAATATAGAAGGTGTATGTAAAAATTTAATGACGATCCGTTATAACTGGCAACAGACAGACTGAACATTAATTATATCCACTCGAAAAATCCTACGTCAAGGAAGGGTAACCAACCTGTTAGATAATAGACAACCAGGTTAACGCGTGAACTCGCCTAGTATTTTCCTTTTCCAAAGCCATCCAAAGATTAGATAAATAATTACACAAAAAATCCAAGAAAGTATTGTTTAAAAATGTTGTTAAATTAATTCGATATCTATCATGAGGATTCATCTAGGATGTTTGTTAGCTTTGTTCCATCTCAGTTCAGTTAAACTAGAAGGATCCTGCAATTTTTACCACGGTCAAATATGTAAAAACTATGTGGATCACACCAAATATGTTTGGTACAATAATTCCGGTGGTTACGAAAACGAACAAATAACAACAGCTTTATGGGAAGAAATGATATCTACCTTTGAAGAACCTTGTCGTGGTGCAGCTGAAAAAATGCTCTGTGTGTTTGCTTTTCCTGAATGCAATGTTTCCAGCCCTTTACCATTGTGTTATGAAGATTGTATTGCCGTTAAGGAACTTTTTTGTTATAAGGAATGGGCATATCTCGAAGACAAAAAGGTCAACGGAGTGTTTATGAAATCCAGAGCACATTTTAGATTGCCTGATTGTAATATCTTGCCAAAATATAGAGAAGCTCCAAAGACATCAGCTGTTTGTACGTATGCAGGCTTGACTGAAATGAAAGAGTCTGAAGTAACACATGATTGTATAAAAGGCAAAGGAAGATATTATCAAGGGAAAGTAAATATTACAAAAGAGGGCATTCCTTGTCAGCGTTGGGATTCTCAATCTCCACAAGTCCATAATTCTCCTCCGGATGTTTTTATGGAACTAACTGATGCAGAAAATTATTGCAGAAATGCTGGTGGAGAAGAAATAAAACCTTGGTGCTTCACCACAAACCCAGAGATCAGATGGCAACATTGTGATATACCGAGATGTTTAAATTCTACTCCAGATGAATCAGATGTTACAGGAATTGAAATGGAAAAACTTTTGTCTCCTGCATTTCTAATAATAGTATCAGTTGTAGGACTTGCTACAATTGTAATCTGTTTATTGCTAGTATTGTTATGTCACCGTTTATATAAACATAGATTATTAGGATACAATGCTCCTGCCAATGCAGAAGTCAATATTGACTTAGATAAATTACCAAGCAACATGCAATATCACAGACATGGGGTACCATTAAATCCTAAATTGGAAAAATTGGAGTATCCCAGAAATGATATTATCTATTTGAGGGATCTTGGGCAAGGTGCTTTTGGAAGTGTTTTTCAAGCCAAAGCTCCTGGGCTAGTAGTAAATGAAGAATTTACTGTGGTCGCTGTAAAAATGCTCAAAGATGATGCGACAGACGATATGCAAGAAGATTTTGAAAAAGAAGCATGTCTTCTTGCTGAATTTGATCATCCAAATATTGTCAGGCTTTTGGGCGTTTGTGCTGTGGGTAGACCAATGTGTCTTTTGTTTGAATATATGGGCAAAGGTGATTTAAATGAATTTCTTCGTCAATGCTCACCTACAAATTATGTGGTACGGAGTGCCATAAGTGGTGAATTTACCAATAAAGAAATATATAAAGATTTTCAGTTAACAAACTGTGAACAAATAAGTATTGCTATTCAGATTGCTTCCGGAATGGTATACTTATCAGATCGTAAATTTGTTCATAGGGATCTTGCCACTAGAAACTGTTTGATAAATGATGATATGGTTGTGAAAATTGCTGATTTTGGATTGTCACAGAAAATCTATCTGCAAGATTACTATAAAGGTACTGATAGAGATGCTATACCTGTAAGATGGATGCCTCTAGAAAGTATATTATACAATAAATACACATCTGAGACTGATGTTTGGGCATTTGGTGTATGCCTATGGGAAATCTTTTCTTTTGCATTGCAACCTTATTATGGGAGGACTCATGAGGAAGTTATTAAATTTTTGAAAGATGGTAACGTAATGCCTCCACCAGAAAACACTCCAGTGGATGCCTATGATTTGATGCGAATGTGCTGGGCACAAAGACCTATCGATAGACCATGTTTTAGGGATGTTCATGACAGACTTGTTGAAATTCATGAGCGAATTTTAGATGCACAAGAAAATCTTTCATAGGTTTAAATTTAATGTAATGCATGTAAGTTATTGTTGTTCTTGTGATGGAGTTGAACCAAATGTATTTCTAATGAGGGATGGAATATTGGATGATTAATTTGCCAATACTGTAAAGGTAGTGAAAAGTAACTTGCGTTCTTTGTGCTATTGACATAATAAAAACAAAATAGAGTTTTGTTTCTATTAGTGTTTGATGGGATTTGCACAGATGCAAGTTGTTTTCTGCACATTTTCAGTTTACTCTTCAAATTTAATTGGAAGTTTATATTACAATTATTTGATATGTTGTAGACACCTACACCTAGATTATTTTTTAAGTGTAAAATTTAAATTGCTTTCAAAATCAACAAGGGTGCCCCAAATAGGGCAACCAAATTCTGTAAAAATTTAATTTGTGCAATGAAAATCTGTATAAATAGCAGTAATTTTCATTGTACTTGTTATATTACTATACAAAAATCAATTTTACATCCCTGATAAGACTCTCTACCTTTTCTGACGCTTGTTTATATAGCACAATTTAGCAATGATTTCAATGGGCTAAATGTTGTGTTTCATTGACATATTTTTTGTATATTTAATATTTTTTTTAGATGTATAATTAGTTCCAAATTAGAATCTCGTCAAAATTAAGCAAAAACCTTTCTAAGAATATTTGTAATTCTTGTAACTAATTAGCATACGTCTCTTGTCATCTAAAAAGTAGTTAACATAAATGTATGGAAAGCATAAATATTATTTTGATAGTGTCCAGTGGCAAAGAAGAAATATATTTAGGAATTAAAAAAACGCTATCAAAAATATTCAAATTAATCTCTATATCTAATTGATCAATATTCTATAATGTTCATCTTTGTTCTTTAGGGTAGGTTTTATTGAAAAAATAAATTAGATTGACCCTTATGAACACAACTCAGGTATATAACAATGAAATTCAGTTAACAAACATGTTTTAGGTTGAATCAATTGTATTTTAGATTAGTTTTTAATTAGCAGCTTATAATTTTAAGTTATTTGGGTTGAAATATTTAAAAGATATATTTTTTATTTATTTATAAATAATTTATTTATAGCTCAAACTGTTTTGTTAACAGTGCCAAAATGTAGGGAAAAGAAATTTAAGGATCTCAAAAGTGACTTTATTATTATTTTTTTTTTGAGTAGGGGATATATAAATTTAAAAAATAAATAGAATTTGAAAAAATATTTAGTGAATAATAATAATTATTGTATTTTTATATACATGGTGTAATGGGTAGTGAAACCATCTCTTTATATTAATCGTCCCTAGAAATGGATGCAAGGCAGTTTGTTTTAACAACGAAATATTTTTTATTTCGATTTTAATTGTTTATAAATCTTTTGCTGTGAAAAAACACGAATTAAGTTAGAATGTGGTTAAATGTCTCACAATATTCCAAAACAGCTTAATATTATTACCTTTATATTTAAGCTAAAAATGAGTTAGTTCCTTTTTTGATAATATTTCCATTTTGTAGTGAAACCATAAGATACCAAAAATAGTATAAAATTGTAGTTATTAAGTATTTGATAAATTATTGTAATAACTATTGTACCTATCACTCGGTTTTATATGTTTTATAATTGTCTCAATATACACTTGATTTTATAAATATCAAAAATTGTCATTTTATTAATCTCTATATTTTCAGTCCTTTCAAACAAAATTTGTTACAAAGACAATGCAATACGGCTCACTATTGCACATCCAAACCACCAGTTAAGTTAACGCAGAAAATTGGATTTATTGGAGATGGAGCGATGGCAAAAGCGATTTGCAGGAGCATAAAAAGAAAAGGTATAATCATTATAATAAATCACATATCAGCGCCTCTTGTTTGCGATTTGTAAACCTACTAAACAACAATCAAATCAGTTAGTTAGAATCCATACACTACCCCAACATCATACCAGACATTGTTCTAACAAAAAAAGAACAACCTGAGATCAGATCACAGTCCCTTTTCATTATTCAAAAGACACCTATCTACTACTATCCCCAATTCTTAGAGTAAAACTGTGATAAAAGGTAATTGTTTAGTATATCCCCAACACCCAATTTGGACTAAATTTTGTACGATATGATTAAATTAGTGTCTAAATAGATAAGTTCTACTAAAATGATTTGGCGCAAATGATTTAAAAATCTAAAAAAAAAAAAAAAACGTTTATTTAAAATATACGTTGGGGATTTATTAAATTATTACCCTCAACTAAATATTTAGCATATCCCCAACATCTAACATTGACATAATTGAATCCGAAGACTAGCAGGCATTACGGGAACAGGTTAATTTGGGTTAGTTTGCATCATTTTGATTAACGGGCTAGCCCGTTTAGATATTCTCTACTGTTAGGTCTATCATGGCCATTTGCACCACTATAACTTAAGGGATATTTATTTCAAGTAAAGCTTTGAATGTGACTTTTGTAGAAACAAAAAGTCACATTCAAAGCTCCACTTGGATTAAATATCCCTTAAGTGATAGTTGTGCAAATGGCCATTAGAGATACAGTTCGAGAAGTTCGAGCTCAGTAAAGAGATGTTCACAATTCAAGATATCATAAAAAATGTTGTAGCAGCAATTTCTACATAGTCATAGGTCATAAAGTGAGCTTTGTACTGACGTTGTTCAAAACAATTTGACATCAGTAAGTAAGTGGTTTCTGAGTTTGTATTTTTTTTGTTGAAAATTATGGCTTGTGGTGGTTGTAATTCAAATCAATTTTTTTCAACTAGCTGAGCGCCACGAGACAATAATGTTACGTGTTGGGGATATACTAAATATTTAGTTAGGGGTAATTATTTAATAAATCCCCAACACATATTTCATATGAACAATTTTTTTAAAAATTTTATATCATCATTTGCACCAAATAATTTCAGTTGAAACTATCTATTTAGACATTAATTTGATCATATTGTACAAAACTAATTCAAAAGTAGGCGTTGGGGATATATGAAACTGTTACTTAGGGGAAATTATTTGATAAATCCTCGACATTTATTTTATATAAACATATTTTTTTTTCTAATTTATAAACCATTAGCGCCAAATATTTTTGGTTGAAGTTATCTATTTAGACACTTATTTAATCATATTTTACAAAATTAATTCAAAATTAAGTGTTGGGGATATATGAAACTGTTACCATAGCAAAACCATACAATCCACCTGCTATGTAGAGATGTGAGTGTGAAAAGTTTCACCTGAAAAGTTTCAATATAATTTCATTTCATTGAAAAGTTTCAAGACAGTTCAAAACTTTTCAAAATTTCGTGAAAAGTTTAAAGATCATGAATCATGCATTGTGACTTTGTCCCAGGTTTGTTAAAGCCAAAAAGGCATGTCATGGTCGTGGGCAAAAAAAATAATTAACGAGTGACGAAAACAGCATTTTTTGCAACGAGAAAACAGTTGTTTTCAAGTTGCAAGAAATGATTTTTGACAAGTAAAACACTATACTTTTTCTAAGACCATGTTTTGATTTTTGCTGTTAAACTTATGTTTTTTTTTTACAAGGGTTCCTACTTGGTTTGATAGCTGGCGCCATCTATGAAAAGGGCTCGTTTTTAATTAATTTTATACTTATATTTTGCTTTTGTTACATTATATAAAGCAAAATTGTAATATACTATAAATGAAACACAGTCATTTGAGTGATGGTCTATTTATTACTGAAAATATTTAATTCTCCGTACCCAAAGGAATGGTACTCTAGTCACAAAAAACCCATTGTTAATCTAACCATACACTCATAGTGAGCTAGCGCATACACGACTATTTAGAGACGTTATGCACATACCTATATCACAAAAATTTACATAATTTTGTTATGAACTATGTTTTTTCATTGTGCTCCACAGAATTGAAATATAATTGGCTTTGAAAAAATGTATTTAACATGTAAAATTTCAATCATTCACTTGCGTCACTAGTGAGGAAAGTTAACGTTATGGGATATTTCATCACTAGTGACGAAAATGATGTTTTCCGCTAAGGAAAAATATGACAAAAGTTGCTTATTTTTTGATGGTCATAGAAAAACAGATTTTTTCACTATTACGCAATTTTTTTTATTTCCTCAATCCTCAACCGCAATATTGTGATTTAATGGAAAGGAATAATTGATAAAAATTATATTATTCATCAATTCAATTTATTGAATACCTATCATTTCGAAAAAATAATTTTAGAGGCCCTATTCTTCCTGTACTTAACTTTTCAAAAAAAAATTGAAAAGTTTCAACTTTTCATGAAAAGTTTCACGAAAAGTTTCAAATTTGAAAATTTCATGAAAACTTACATCTCTACTGCTATGGACATTGGAAATAGAACTACACCTTTTCCAATTGTAATTCAGAAACAGTTACATGTATTTCAGAAACCGTCAAATGTAATTGAGAATAGTAAAATGTTATTCAGAATGCGTTAATTGTAATTGAGAATAGTTAAATGTAATTGAGAAAGCGTCAAATGTAATTGAGAAAAGTCAAATGTTATTGAGAATGCGTTAATTGTAATTGAGAATAGTCAAATGTAATTGAGAAACCGTCAGATGTAATTGAGAATAGCTAAATGTAATTGCGAATGCGTTAATTGTATTTCAGAAAGCATCAAATGAGATTCAGAATAGATCAAATGAAATTGAGATCATGCAAGATTCGGAACTGTATAGTGTGTAAGCATTCGCAATTCGTGATTCGCATCTATAGGAACTACGCTTTAGATAAATCATTCAGTGATTGAGATATCTGGATCAGGCGCCACAATTTTAAGGCTACCTCCTTATTCGCCAATGCTGAATCCCATCGAGAACATTTGGTCCAAAATAAAAACTTATGTTAAACGTAATTTACGAGTACCAAAAGTGAATGGGCCTGGAGTAATTGAACAGTGATTGGCTTATTTAGAAGAGATAGTGGACCATGCTGAAACCACTATAGTTAAGTAATGAATGGTGACTGTGCCCGCGCTGCGCAACATTCGACGACGTTCTATAAGGCGGCTTTAGCTATAGAACCAATGCTTATTTGACGATAGTTTTGAGAACTGTTTGTTTTTTAATTAGGATTTTATGTAACTTTCATTTTAATAATATAGGTTCTGATATTATTATTTATTATTCAACCAAAATGTTTTACGGTTTCCGATATCCCCACAAATTTTCACGAATTTGTGTCACCTTGTATGTATATGAAATTTTCGCATTTTCATTATCTCAATTCCATTTGACCTATTCTGAATCTCATTTGATGCTTTCTGAATTACATTTAACGTTTTCTCAATAACATTTGCCTGTTTCTCAATTACATTTGACTATTCTCAATTACAATTAACGAATTCTCAATTACATTTAACTATTCTCAATAACATTTGACGGTTTCTCAATAACATTTGACTATTCTCAATTACAGTTAACGAATTCTGAATAACATTTAACTATTTTTAATTACATGTAACGCTTTCTCAATTACATTTGATTATTCTCAATTACAAGTGACGGTTTCTGAATTACAATTGGAAAAGGTGTAGATCATAAACAATAATTAATGTATGCCAAAATTATTTCTTTAATAGTTTTCAAACAAATCAGTAGTTAGTCTAAAAGTAATCGATGCTACAATACTGTGGTTGATGTTGATGCCAATTGAACAGAAAGAGAGTTGCTCGGAAGGTCATTGTTCGGAACTCCGTTCTCCAACAGTTTCAAATAAAAAGCTTCTGACAGGAACTACGCAGGAACTCTTTCACGCTGATCAATTCAGGTGTTGCGGAAATAATCCACAACAGGTTTAACTTTTATTATTTCTAATTTAATATAATTTTCTTCTCTATTATTTACCATAAAAATAATATTCTAAAAATAGATGCTATTGCGAAGGAGGTCTTCCCACAAACACCCCCCAAGAAGCGTTTACAAAACTGTATACTGTAGGTCAATCCTAGAATATGATTCACATCAGGTTTGGCACTTAGCCTTGAAGCTATACAGAGAATAGCAACTCGATTGCAAATTGGTAGAAGAAGACCACAGTGTGTAGGGAGAACTTTCTACCAAACAGAGTCTTTGCCGTCTGGAATCAACTCCCAGCTGAAACAATTAGTGCTACTTCAGTGTCAATATTCAAGACAAAACTTGATAGTTAATTCCCACATAGAGAGGTTGTCGGCAAATATGTAGGTAATTAAAATATTTTCCAGGAGCGTATATTACTATTTAATCGTAGATTATGAGACTCATGCGGAATCTCTGGAATCTTGGGCTCAAGTTGTCGCGGTTGTTAGGTACTGCATACTTTTGTAAAATTTGAAATATAAGTACTAAACCGGATCAATGGCCTATGATCAGTTTCAAGAATAACTCGAATTTCTATCAGATAATCTTGAGGTTCGACCAAGAACACCACACGGGCGGTCCTCAGGGATAATACTCCAAGTGTCTTTCGTACTTCTTGAGTGGCCCTTGAGCGCATTCAGGCGACAATTTTATGTCTAAGGGTAATGGCAGTTTCATTTAGGGTTCTCGGTTCTCCGGAGGTATTTAAATTAATTAAGCTTAACTTTTCAACAAACTATTATGATTGATCAACTTTCTGTCCAAGCTGCTTTTATACTGTTCCAATCCCTCTGGAATTGTCCAGTGAATCATCTTTTTATAATTTCCGATAAACTTCGATCTACAATTCGCTAAATTATTACATCAATAACCCACCAAATACGAAGTCTCATGCCCCTTAGTGCGAATAAATCATTCGACAATATGGAACTACAACAGCTTTTCAAAGGGAACGGATGACGTTTGTCCGGACTCCCAAATATATCTACATTATTTCCTCATCAATATTGGATATGAAGATGAACTAATGAGTAAGATTTCCATTTGGAATAGAACAATCTGTAGCAGGTAGACATTTTTTGTTGCAGAGCTATCGACTGGGAAAATTCTGGAAAGAGATTACCTATTTATTTCTTTATGTTTATAAGTGTACTCTACAGAACAAATTTCTAAATGGTACACTGAAGAAGTAAACCTAAATAATGATATGCAAATTAGCAACTTATCAAAAATATAAAGAATAGAGCCTTTGTAATTATGTACTGCTAATTAGGGGTAAATATCACTTGTTTTAGGGTCAGTTTCTCAATAGCGAGTGACCTCCGGGTTTGTTTTAACTTCAGGGTGAACATGTCCAGTTGCAATGTTTACCTTGGAGTTAGGCTCAACCCGGGGGTGACTCGCTACTGAGAAACCGGCCCTGAATGATAGAAATAAATACATTTCAACATATTCAGTTATAAATCGACTACCGATTACCGTGATTGGCTGAATAACCAAATAACCCCCGATACATGACACACGTCAAGTCACAGAACAAAAAAGTGCGCGTGCATTCGAAACCATAGCTGCTTACGAACTGACGATTTTCTGACCTATGTTGAAGTTTTCGATTTCCATTTATCGATCAGTGCACACTGAGTATATTCCCATTTTTTTCTAATAACATTTAAAACATAAGGATAAAGATAATTTTTTTTCGCACTGTTCAGATTTTTTCTTCAAGTTAGGTCAGAAAGTGGTCTGTTCGTAAGCAGCTCATATTCGAAACGCCAATTTCTTGTTTGGCTTTAGCCGCACCGAAGTGGGACCTGGAACGTGGAACCCAGCCCACAAGTAGAGAGTAGAGCTCAGAACTCGGGTACGGTACAAAGCGAGGAGCCACACTCGACTTGTAATCCATAATCCATATTGTACTAGATTTATGAGAGAGGTACTAGCGTACTAGGTGAAACGTGATTGTGCCAGATCTAGTACAATTGTACTAGAAATAGCATCCCTGTTTTTTTATTACATTCAGAGCGGTATTGAAAAGATCTATAGGTATGACGGGAAAAGTCCTTATTATAATTAGACTAGTTCTATGCGCAGGTTGAAAAAAAGCTGCCTCTGTCGGGTATTCTTCTTCCAGGATTATTTTACCTTGCAGAAACCGTGTTGTTCGTTAGCAATGTAGTTCCTGAAGCATGAATACACATGTCGGTTAGCATGGATTCCATAACTTCAGGAATATGCGATAGTAGAGATATGCCTCTATAATTATTCACATCAGTGCTATCTCATGATTTGTGGATAGGGAAGAGAGTGGAGATTTTCCAACTTCTGGGAAAAATTCCTGTATCGAAAGAAAGTTGTATTATATGCTTCAGAGGTTTTATTAGAGATGTGCAACAGCCTTTAAGACCATGCGGTCCAAGATTCTTTGAAGCATTAAGATCCAGATTTTTTCTCTGTATTTCCTTGACAGTGAAGAAATGATCGGAGAGGTATGTTCCAAAATAGACTGATTCGTCTTCTTTGATCTCAACATCCTTAGGTAGAGCAAGAGCAGGACCCAACTGACACTACTCGTAACGCATAAAGAGGGGCGAGGAAGTTCCAATATCTATAGTCAATTGAGACCACAGATTACTGACACTGTTCATCATAAGTCAGGTAGCAAGCCCTTGTCAAAATTATATTAGTTTACAATACAATGAGGACTAAAAAATCAATAGTCCAGAAATGGTATTCTGGATCTCAAAGAAAAATCATCCAAAACCTTGTTAAACAGAAATATAATTTGGAGTGGAATCTGACCAAACCCATTGGCAAGATCAACTGGCTTACTTTTTCCTATATACACCCCCCATTGTCATATATACTCCCATTCCACACACAAATACATCAAATTGAATCAGGAGTAATGCCTATCATAACTAAAAATAAATTATTCACTTTGACTCAATGATTCGTACTATTTCCAATTTCCATTTTAGGTTTAATAGATTATTCGCAAGTATACGTATCCAGTCCGTATCCGAAAAATTTGGACGAATGGAAAGGTTTAGGAGCAAACGTTTCAACTCAGAATGCCGTAGTAGCTCAACAAGCTGACATTATCTTCCTAGCAGTGAAACCACACATTTTAAAAGAAGCGATAAAAACCATTTCAGCTAGTCCTTCGGTATCCCAAATCAAAGATAAACTATTTGTATCGATTTTAGCTGGTATAACTACAAATGATTTAGAAACCGTAGGTCATTGATACCAATTTTATAATAGCAATTTTTATAATTTTCTTATTATCTTTAGATGTTATCCAAATTTAGCAACAGTAGAGTAGTAAGGGTAATGCCAAACACTCCAATGCTAGTAGGCGAAGGCTGCACAGTATACTGTCCAGGATCGACAGTAACAAAATCAGATCTAGAGCTAGTGCATAGAATTCTTGAAGTTACAGGAATGTGCCAGTGCTTGCCAGAGCATATGATTAATGCTGTCGGTGCCCTATCTGGAAGCGGACCTGCTTTTGTAAGATAGACACGTAACAAATATAAAAATCTTCAACAGTGAATTTTTAGGTATATCTTTTTATCGAAGCTTTATCAGATGGTGCTGTTCGAATGGGAATTCACAGAGATATGGCAACAAGATTCGCGGCACAAACCGTGATGGGGGCAGGCAAAATGGTTCTAGAAACGAGTAAGCATATGGGGACTCTTAAAGATGAAGTGTGCTCGGCTGGTGGACAAACTATTGCTGGTATACATGCTTTGGAAAGAGGTGGAGTTAGGTAAATATGTGCAGTTTGTTTTTATAATATTTTGATTGTATTTTTTATTTTAGAGGATCCGTCATGGATGCGGTAGAAGCTGCAGCTCTAAGGGCAGCTGAATTGGGAAAACAGAGCACAAAGTAAATCAATAAGATATATTTGGATTAAATGGAATAAGATAGTTTGACAAAATTGGTACTATTAGCCACATGTGACCGAGTTGAAAATTATATAGTCTAGGGTAAACTTATAACTTGTTATATTAAATTTACTCAATATAATTTATTAAAATTATGTTTTTTTTTTTTTAATTAAATTAATTGATGGAAATGCAATAATTATTATCGTACTAGTGGAGTTTAATCGGTTTTAGATAAAATGCTATAAGCCACACGTTATTTTTAAAATATTCACAAATTAATTAAATTAAAATTAGGATTCTGATTCGGTTGATAGTGCTGGCTGATATTCGACGCATCTAGAAGGATCCGTGGGATAATATTCTTGACATTTTGTCATAAGCCTTTTTAGCGCTTGAATATATTTTCTTTGTGTCTCGTCGTTCATTACATGGGCTACATTTTTAGAAAAGATTTTTTCACGACCCGTTCTTGCGTGGATACCCACCATGGTTACGCCAATAGGCCACGGAGCGTTGCCGATTGCCATTTGAAGATATGCATCACTAGCCTAAAATAAGTTAAAATTTTTATCATGTACCATATCTAATTATTATTATGTACCTTCAGATAATTTCTGTTTAAAAGGTGAACTACAATTTCAGTCAAACTATCCGAGATATCTTCAGGGAGTGTGAAGCTTTTTAATTTCCTTAACAGCGGCTTTAGATATTCTTGCGTTTGTGTGTAAGTGGCACCTTGTAGTTTTCCTTTGGTTGCCATTTTATCGTCTTGGCTTCTGTATTTCAGTTGTTCGTCCCATTTTAATAAAATAAGCTGGAAAAATAATTCAATCAATTGAAGCTTGTATTCTTAAATACACAAAAAATAAGCATTTTTCACACACAAAAATAACATAAAGATAAAGATAGAAAATGTAAACACAATAATCCTCAATAATTGATTTTTACTGATATAGATCGAAATGAGCCACATTTTCCATTAGTTTGTGCAGGTACTTCAGTTGAAAACAACAGTTATAATAATTTAAAAAATGCATCTTGGTGGTTTAATAACAATTCTGGCATTTATTATATTTACTTTTTTGTTGTTGGTACAACTTATTGTATTTAAAATAACTATGACAAAGTATCATAACATGTTGGACCAAGGTATGTGAACATTTTACTAGAAAGATAAAGCGTTGTTGGTTACATTTAATATCAACTTTGTAGGCTATTACTTTGTTGAAGATTTCAAATGGAAGAGAACCACCTTAAGAGCTGTGCCGCCACATAATGTAGATCTCCGTAAGTTATATATTTAAAGAAATATAACATTCAAATATTGTTTTTTGTTTTCAGAAAGTGGACTACCAAGAATAATAAATCCAGCCGTGATTTTGTGATAACTATATCCTATACCATATTGCAAACCTCAAAAGAGTCTCCAAGATAAACTGGATTATACCTACAAATCTGGAATAAAAGTACTAATTATCCAATTGATTCATTTATATTTCGAAAATCTGTCAAGAATCTGCCTTAAAATTTTGATTACATGAGCAAAGCAAAACATTTTATTTTATTTCCCAATTTCCAACATTTTTCATATAATTATTACAGAAATCGACTATGCTATGCTAACACTTGAAACAATATTATTTACTAAGAATTAAACTGAATTTTCTGAAAGTATTTATTTTGTAGTAATGTGAATCATCTAATTTAGTTATAATATGAACAATCAGGATTTTGATAAGAGACAAAAAGGTGTATTATCCCATATCTTTATTGTTGTTATTGATGATTTAATTATAAGAATACCGTCAAATATAAAACAAATAGCAACCAGAGGAAACAAAATATACATTTGTTAAAATATAAGCTTACAATATTTGCAGAATATTGATTTACTCCTAGATCAAGAAATCAATGAATTGTATTGTATTGTATCCTCGACTGCAGCATCAAGTTTTGAAATAAGGATCAAAAGCTTTACTAAAAATCAGTATTCGCAAAATCCACTTGATATTCGGATTCAGAAGATGACTTAATGAACTGATAAGTCACCAAAAGGTTTGTGACTGTCGATTTGTCCCAACAAGGAGATTTGAAGGGACAATAATTTATTTTCAAATAAAAGAAAATATATTATTTTGAGGTGACGTTTTTGTTTTTTAATGTCTATAATTCCAAGTAATATACATACCTACATAGATACTTGATGATAAGATAATCAGTAAATAAAAGATTAGAAGGCTTAATTTTTAGATAAAGCAAATATATTTCCAATATCTCTGCAGTAACTTTTTTTCGCCATTTGAAAATATACAAAGAATATTTCAACAAGATGGAACCTACAATAGTTGTGGGCTTTGGATTAATGCTTACTTATATTATTGGTCAGTTTGTATTTATATTTTATTCGAGAGTTGCCTACAATAAACTCAGAGATGACATTATATCTAAAGGTAAGTAAATATGTTTTTAAATTCAATAGAAAGTGCAAGAAATAGGTGGGTATATCTTCGACCTTTCACAGGGTTAGACTAGTAAATGTTACACATCTAATTCAAATAATCCCTTATATGTTAGGAAGACTTATTTCCTTCATGCCAGTTTTAACCCTAACAACTGTGTCTTCAATGCCTGGAACCTCATTGCCACAACAGCCAATACCCGGTGCACCACCTCAATGTAAGTTTAAAGTTGTTTGTCCACTGAGACAACTCATACAGTCATTTAGTTACCTTGGTGGATGAATGGTCTGATGACCACTAGAATGTTATTATTTGAAAATTTAATAATTTATTTTCCAGACTCAGCTACCACTGAGAAATCAGCTCCACCAGCATATACACCATAGTATATTTTGAATGAAGTTCAACGAATTTGACTGGAGATCATTATTATTGTATTTACTCAGCAAATAAAATACCTAAATACACATTTTATCAATGTAAAGTACATATTATTTTTGGTTCTAAATTATTTAAAAAAAATTAAAACTTACCTGTATAAAATGAACAATAGTTGTCATATCATGTTCCCTGTTTCCTCTTCCCATTTTCTTGGCCATTACACATATCTCCTCATAACTAACTTTCGGCTCGTGTGAATGACTTTTTGTTTTTGATCCATTTTCTGAGGATTTTGATTTCAGAAATTCATTTAGATATTCTTGATCCACTTGCTCCATCGCTTCTTGAAGATCATTACGGAATCCCTAGAAAAATATCTGAATATTGATATTTAAACTTTAAATTTTAAACTCAAAATGTAACTTACCCTGTTAATTTCTGGTTCAAGCAATTCACATTTCCTCAAACGTTTGCAAGCATCAGTTTCTGATTCTCCAAATAGTAAAATGGGTTCTCCTCTGTCCCTTAGTTTGTTAATAACTTCTTGTCGTGGAAGTATGTTATGCTTGACATCAGCCTGGGTTTTATTTCCTAAAAAGGTTGCATGGTTAAGCAAAACTTGTATTGCTGGCAAACCATTTCCTACCTTCCTGTGGATCTTTTGAACTACTAGCATTGTCTTCAGTTGCACTATATTTGTCCTTATATTTTGCAACTTCCTTGGCAGTTAGTTCACCTCGTCTAAAATATTTCCGCTTCTTACTCTAAAATAACATGAAAAATGGTTTTAGCAGGAGCTGGACCCATTGAATTTTGCTAGTTTAATAATTGTGCCAGAAGCTGTCGAGTAGGTGGTAGATTCTGTATACTTTTTGTTGGAATGTTGATGCATTTTTGTCTTATTTTTAAAGGCTAGTGTTTACACCGGCTTCACAAGTGAGGTACAGTTAAATACTCGGTTAAATAAGTAATGGTAATGTTATGAGTAGTTTAACAAAGACACCACCTGATGACGAGTTAGTCAGTCAGTCAGTCAGTTAGTCAGTCAGTCAACTCATGTTGTAATTTCATGATTTAAATATACAGTTTTACCTAATTATTTATTGCATTACTTAGTCATGGTCCGAACCCATATACAACAGGTAATGGTTTGTATTTATCCCTAAAATTGTAAAAAAATAAAAGTTCCACTTACTACTAAATCCTTTTCTTCCAATTCCTTTCTCTTTTTTTCTATTTCTGCTTTAAGGATATCCATTGTAACTAATTGATTTTTAGTTTTCTCAATTAATAAAGAGTTGCAAAATGCAACTCGCTATTTGGAATAATAGAATAATAGTAATAGAAAAATTAAAATTAGAAAATGAAAAATGGAAATTAAAAAATAAATGTAAACATAAACATCATATGTTTTTTAGGCGTTTTCGTTTGCTAGATAGAACTGCGAACTGCGCAAAGCACATTTGCTCGAACACCATTCTTGGAACTGGGAGAGCTGCTTACGATCAAACCACTTTCTGACCTCTTGAAGAAAATAACTGATAGCGATTTCCATTTGCAGAATCAGCGCAAAAAAAAGTATTTTTTCTACTACCGTGCGTAAAGTACTCACTTTACGCACTATTCAGAAGACGTGAAATTACACTTCACGCACTAGTGCGTAAAGTAATTCACTTCACACACTAGTGCGTAAAGTAATGTCAATGACAGATGTCAACACTGTCAATGTAATATTTTTCTGGTAAATTGCTTCACGCACTAGTGCGTAAAGTGAAAATACTTCACGCACTAGTGCGTAAAGTATTTGTCTAAATCTATTTTTTTACACATATTTGATTGGTAGTAGAAAAAATTTTGTATGCAATACGTGCGTAAAGCACCTTTTTTCACTCATGTGATTGTCGCACTCGCCTCCGGCTCGTGCGTCAAAATTCACATTCGTGAAAAAAGGTTCACTTTACACACTTGTTGCATAAATAACTATTTATCCTTATATCTTAAAATCTGTTTTTTTTTTTTAAAGATAAAAGTCAAAATGACAATCCGCGTGTGGCTAAATTCAGCTGGTGTAGGCACCCTGGTGGAATGGTAGAACAAGCAGTGTTGTTAAATTACCAGGGTTTGACAAGCAGTGGTTTGGCATTGGCATTAGTGAATTTTAATCACCGCATCCGTGGCGGTGCACCATTTTGGTGAATTTAGCAACACGCGGATTATGTTGGCAATACAATGTAAAATTGTCAACGCTTTCAAATTTTTTATGTAGAAAAGGCTTGTGTTGCCAACATAGTTACTAAATTTTTGACTTGGAGAATTATCTTTAAAAAAAAAAACAGACTTTACATGCTTTCGAAAAAGATGCGAATCGAAAACGCTAACCTAGGTCGGAAAATGGTCTGGGGTGCGTTCAAGGACGGCAATGCTAATGCCAAAACCTACTTTTCCCCCTCTACCGGTAATGCCGAACCACGTAGGTTGGAGCCGAACTCGAACGCAAAATGCCAATTTTGGCTTGGCTGTAGCCATTCTTGAACGCAGCCCTGAGCCGCTTTCCATTATGGGAGTGTGACGCCCGGAGCTACTCGGGGCGTTGAGCCCCCGAGCTGTACGTACGCGTCAACCTATCAGCTGTCACATCTGTGGGTGGCTATTTATCTATTTATTTCTTGTTATATCTCAAGAATGAACATTTTAAAATATATAGTTTTGATTCTCTTTCATTTTTGATAAATAAAAAAACAAACTGCACAAACAAACAGATAATTATTTTTAAAATTTGACATATTTGACACTAAGACAGGCGTCTCACGCCATGATACTCTGGAACGGTACATTCTTGGGTACAAATCTAGTGCGTGGCGCCCCCGAGGTGCTCTGGAGCGCGCCAATGTGCATACTGGAAAGCGGCTCTGATCGGAGGCAGCTCTGTTTTCATGGTTATATCGCTGCTCTCCGCTCTAGGTGGGAATATCAGAGCTAGAGCTGATTGGTTGCAGCATATCTGAGCAGATACAAATATGAAACTCTTTTTTTTTGTGTTCTGTGGAAAACCCGCGCTCTAGGCATTTTCTTCTCTTTCAATGGAACTGTTAATAATGGAACTGTTGAAAATATCACATTTTCGCGCCCTGTTGCGGTATTATGAAGGAGGTTCAAAAATCTGCTTAGGGCGGGTATTATAAAACTACTTTGAAAGTTAACTTAAAGTTAACTTCTGAAAATACATGTAATTCAAAAAGTTAACTGCAAGTTAACTGTCAAAGCAGTTTTATAATACCCGTCCTAAAAGAGCCTTTTTTCCAATGTCAAATGATGACGTCATTAAAAAAGCCACTTGAAAATGAACGGTTAGAAAAATGTTAGGGCCCATCCTCAATCAATCTGGTAGCGAAGTGGCACTTCGGCACGCATGCTATTTAGGATAATGTTGTTTAACGTTGGCATCCTCAATTCAATTCCGTGCTAGCATGCACGCCGACTCCGAAGTGCAAGCTTGCAAGCTGCAAACTTTTTCGATGCGTGCCGAGTGGTGCCGACTTATGTCATGCGCACTACGGTGAAAAATAATTCAGGTTATCTTTGCGTTCGGTATTTTGCTCGAAGAGCAGAGCGGAGCTGTAATCACGTGACCAGCGAACGCACAGAGCAGTTAACGCTGTATCAGAGGGTTCGAAATTTTAATAATCGAACGTGAATGAGCCTGCACCGAGTACAATTTTTAAATAAACGAACCGTTAATTCATGCTCAGAGAACTCAGATCAACCGAACGCACGGTTTGAGACAGTACTACACGCACAGCAGACTGAAAATTGACAGCATTGAGGATGGGTATCAATTTCCCAGCACGCGTGCCGAAGTGCCACTTCGCTACCAGGTTGATTGAGGATGTAGCTTTATTTTATTTTATAATTAAGCAATCCAACGACATATCAATATTTATTTATAATAGGTTGATGTAGGTACCCTAGTAATTGCACCAAAATTTCACGTGTATCTCGAGAAAAAAAAAAGACCCTATTATTTATTTCAACTTTAATTGCTTCCATGTTCGTCAATTGATCAGGTAGGTAGAAGCTGGTTCGAGAAATGACATACCGTTATTCTATGCATACCCAGAGCTGTCCAAGATAGTTTTGAAAAGTATCTAGTTACAAGATAAGTTACTTTTGGAAAAAGTATCCGAAGTTACTTCGAGTATTTAGTTACTCATTGAAAAAAGGATCTTAAATACGTATCTAAGTTACTTTTTAAGATACTTAATAAAATACTTATTAAGATACTTCATTATTATTTCCAAGTAGCAGGCGGAACAACCGATTAAGCCATGGCTGTTTATTTGTTCCACAGGTTTCGGGTTTCGGGTTCAATTTAAAAATTTTAAAACAAAATTTATATAGTTCAAAAATCCCAAATTCAAGAAGGGTCGAAATCGCAAGACACTAGAAAGTTATCACAGTTACAATCACAAATCATAGCTAAATTTTTATAGAATAGGTATAATGGACAAATCGCGACATGAGCTTTTGCAATTCACAGGTGTCAATCAACTCTTTTTTTAAATGAGTTTACACTAACTGCACTCATTAAAAAAAAAAGTATAATCATTAATCTGTCTTTATAAACACTTACCATTGTCTACAGTCTGCAAATAAATCAATATTTGTACCTATTTTCTAAAAAAACTAATTTTCCAAAAACAAAGAAAAATTATTTGAAAATCAGGGTCACAGCTTTACAACTAACGTAACACGAAATTATTAAATAAATGGTATCAATCAAGACAACACAAGCAAAAATAAAATGCATTTTCCAGTATCTAAGATACTTTTCAGTATCTAAGATACTTTTCAGTATCTAAGATACTTTTCAGTATCTTAGATACTTTTCAGTATCTAAGATACTTTTAAGTATTTCAGAATACTTTTCGGTATCTAAGATACTTTTTTAAGATACAAGTTACAGATCCTTCTGAAAAGTAACTAAGATACTAGATACTTTTGCCAAAAATGAAAAGTATTTAAGATACAGTATCTTAGATACTATAAAGTAACTAAGATACTGTAAAGTAACTAAGATACTTTTTTCTGACAGCTCTGTGCATACCGTTTCCCAACCCGGTTACAAAGTGACGTCCCCGATACTACAGTGGCTAAATAAACCTTTACATACAGTGGCGACAATAGAGTTCCCGCCGCCGTCTTGTTCCCAACCTCCTGTTACTTTCAAATATTAATATATAGGATTTAAATAGACATCTATCATAAAAAATTAAAATCGGCATATTTGATGACCATTATCAGGTTCATCAAATACGTTGTTTTCCATGTTTTATGATGGATGTTCACCTAAATCCTATATATTCATATTTAAAAGTAACAAGAGGTTGGGAACAAGATGGCGGCATTTTCAATATAAACATATGGGATTTTTGAACCAATCAAAAATGAGACCGCAATTGTCGCCACTGTGGTAATAAAGTCACTGTACCCGATACCACTCGAATTTGAGCGGTATGTTGCGTTTTGGTAAACCGGAGCCACGTGAAAAGGGCTATCAAGTTCAGGGCTTATCTTGAGAGTTGATTAAGCTGCACCCGATTCATCAAAAACCGATCCCAAACGGATTCACATGTTCGACTTTAAAACGGAATTTTGCTCTCGACGAGAGCCACTTGAGCACTAGAACGCTCTTTTGCATGAAATTCGATGGATCAAAGAGTTTGATCAAACAATAAAATATAATGTTGCATTTTATTTAGGTACTTTTGTTCAGCTTTGACTTGACAAAAACTGTCTGACCAGTGACCAGTCTGACTAAGTTTTTCAAAAGAGACTTTTTGTTGTTAAGCCTCACTCTCACTAAGCAAATTTAAAAAATATACAGTCGTGAGCATTTACTGTATTCCTTTTTTTCTGTTGAGTTACTCGGAGCTGCTTAATGTCAAAAGCTTGAACGTGTGAATGTTGAGTGCTGGTGAACGCGACCAATGTTATAACTCATCCATATATTCCGCACCAGACAGGAAGAGAACACGTTACCGGAACGAGTTCGATTGCACTCGTTCCGGTGCATTCGTATTGACGTATTCGCCAAATGTCAAAAATTCAAAAGTCATTTCAGATTAGAAGTGTTTTAGGTTAGATAAACCTGAGAGAAAAACAAACAAATTAAAATAAAAAACTCTTAGGTAAAGTGGTGATCCTAATACAGGAAACAGGAATTAATAAATAAAAAAATAATGGAGTTAAAGGAATGAAGGAAAACAGCGACGTGCAACAACTTGGAGAGAAAAAAAGGTATCTTGTTTAACTTGCGTCTAATCTCAACGTGGCTCCTTCACTATGCGCGTGCGCGTACTTTCGACAGAAGATTTTTAGGTTAGGTTTTCCTGTTTTGTTTTGATTTTGAACTTTTACTTTTTTAGTAAGTTTGGTAATTTTATTTATTTATTTATTTATTTATTTATTTATTTATTTATTCATCAAGTATCAACAGCCAAGAGGCCAATCACAGATACAAACTTACATCTATTATAAGTAAACTTTAAATCTAATTCTAATCAAAAGATTCACAATATAATAAAGTAAAAAAGTCAAAAAAAAAACAAACGAAAACAATACTCACATTCGAAGCTTTTCATCAATAATTTTCTTAAAAGCTTTGATATTTATTGTGTCAATATCAGGGTTGGAAAAAATCATGATTTTTTTGAAAAAATCAAAAAAATCAGATTTTTTTGATTTAAATCGGATTTTTTTGATTTTTTTGAATTAAATGGCTTTATTAATTTTTGATCAATTATTGGTAATTTTGTTTCAACAATGAATGATGCAGTAAATATAGTATACCTACTCCTAGACAAAATTATCGCACCACTGCACATAAGCACCACAAAAGCAATGGTATGATAATTTTGTCCACGAGTATATAATAAGAGTAGGCATATAGAGTATAATAAAAATAAAAATTTATTAATGTTTATTAATAAATAAATAGTTTCAACAAACAAAACAGTAAATAAACGGCAATTTCTGAAAACAAAAATAAAAAACATAAATAAAAATATTCGATAGGTAGAGGTGTAGATAAGGTACCTACCTATCTATTACCCTGCCCCTTAAACTTAGTAGAGAGAACAAAAAAAATAAGTCAAAATAAAGTGAATAATTCTTTTGTAAAAAATGAAAATAATACTACTTATATAAAAAAAAATAATAAATAAATATATTTTCAATTTCTGAAAATCGATTTAAATCATTGATTTTTTTCAAAAAAATCACTTGATTTAAATCATGATTTAAATCGTGATTTAAATCATTTGATTTAAATCATGCCAACCCTGGTCAATATCAATATCGAAAGCATACAAATTAAAAACCTGACACATTTTATATATGGGAGAATTTTTGTACAGATTAGTACGAGGATATGCCAAATAAAAAACATTCTGATTTCGCGAGTTGAATCGATTTATTGCAAATGGTAACTGGGCAAGCATTTCTGGACAATCAATTGTTCCCCTCAAAATATTGAACATTGTGCACAAAATCACCCTATCCCTTCTTTTGCTCAAGGAAAGCCTATCAAAAATGCTCAGTAGGTAGCCCTGATCACAACCAGTGCTTGGCCCATTATTGTTTCTCATTTACATCAATGACCTAGCTTCCATCAATATAAATGGAGCCTTTACATTATTTGCTGATGATACCACGATACTGTGGCGTGGAACAAGCGATGATACTTTGGAAGAAACAATAAATAGAGACATACAAATTATAAAGAAATGGTGTGACACAAACAGCCTGACTTTTAACATAAGCAAAACCAATCTTATATCATTTAGGGGAAACGCTCCAAGTATCTCACTGAATGGTGGAGCTGTGGAAAGTACAGACTGTGCAAAGTTTTTGGGAGTTTATATTGATTGCAAGTTAAAGTTTGATACGCATATTATAATGTTAAGGAAAAGGTTGGCCTCTGCTTGTTATGCTGTTAGAATTGTACATGGTGAACTTGGAGCCAAAACAGCAAGAGATGTATATTTCTCACTGATAGAGTCTCATTTGAGATATGGCATACAGTTTTGGGGCTTTGCCAGCCGGCATCTTATTCAGTCTGTTTTTGTCTTGCAGAAGCGGGCTGTAAGATATTTGAGTGGTGCTGGTCACAGAGATCACTGTAGACCGCTGTTTATTGGGGAGGGGATTCTAACATTGGCTTGTATTTTCATCCTTAGTACAGTAGAGTTGGTTCGTAAAAAATGCAGGGGATCTGATGTCGCCTCAGCAAGTGCTTACGCGACAAGATATAGCAGTGAAAATCTGAGTCTCTGCATTCCTAAAAGTACCCTTACTAAACATTCAATTATATATGAGGGTAGAAAAATGTACAATCGCTTGCCGCTGGAAATCAAGAATCTAGAAAGTGACAAAAAGTTTGGCCAATTAGTAAAGAGGATGTTATTGAAAAAAGCTTATTATTGCCTTGACGAGTTTTATGCGGATGATTTATGTTTGTGAAGTAATGTTTGTTTTTTTTTCTATTTTAAGCTTTTCAAATTGTATTTGTGTTTTAAGGAATTTTAGCTGTTTTTGATGTTTTTTTTTTTTTTTTTTTCTATTTGTTTTTCTATGACCACTGAGTTTATACTGTTTTATATGTTTTTATTTTCAGCTTTGTACATGAGGGTATTTAAACTCTTTATACAATAAAGCATTTTTTGATTTGATTTGATTTGATTTGAAAAAAAAACCTCTTTGCGGATAAATACCAAATTTTCGAAAATACATGCATTTGAGGAAATTTCGTTGTACCCTTTCTATTTATGTAACCCACACATTGTATTGCGGAGACCAAATTATGCTTGCATATTCCAAAATGGGAACCACCAAACTATCAAAAAGATGTAGACTCACCTCCATTCTAAAGTTTTTTGTGTTTGTCGAGATAAATCCTGCCACCCTCTGTGCACTTTCAATTTTAGATGCCATATGACCAGAGAACGACAAGTTAGAATCAAACACCACTCCAAGATCTCTCTGTTGGCCAACTCGTTTGAGATTAGTACCATTTAATTTATAGTCATAATTTATAGCATTGTGGTTAAGGGTAAAGGACATACAGGTACATTTTGCAATATTCATTTTAAAGCTATTATTTTCGCACCAATTAGTCACACTACAAAAATCATTCTGCAGTTGCACACAGTCTTCAACGGAATTAATCTGGAAAAAACATTTGAAATCATCGGCGAACATGAGGGCCACAGCATTTTCCAGGTTTCCAGCAATATTATTTATTGTTGCCAAGAAGAGGAGAGGGCCCAAATTAGAACCCTGCGGCACACCAGAGGTGCTTTTAAAGATCCGTGATTTGCAACCCTTAACTTCAACATATTGAAACCTGTTACTAAGATATGACTGAGTTAGCCCAATCAAATACAAAGGCACGTCCATATTCTGGAGAGACTTAATTATTACGCAGTGTCTGACCCTGTCAAATGCCTTCTCCATGTCCGTGTAAATAACGTCAACCTGCGATTTATTATTTATGGCTTCATGCACATATTGACTAAATGTGGCCAAGTTGGTGAATGTTGACCTATGAGGGAAGAAACCATGCTGACAGGAGGTAATTTTTCCAGAAATTTCACTAAATAACAATTCAAATATAATCATTTCAAATACCTTGGAAACTGAACTCAGAATAGATATGGGGCGGTAGTTTTTAATATCCTGTCTAACACCAGATTTAAAAATCGGAATGACTTTGCCTATTTTCCATTTTTCTGGATAATTTGATGTTTTTATAATTAGATTGAATACAACTTGCAGGGGTTTCAATAGATGTTGGCTATAGCCCTTTAGAATATAGGCTGGTATTCCATCTGAACCAATTGCCTTGTTTCCCTTGAGCCTTTTGATTGCCATGTCTATATCATCTGTCGAGATAGACTTCTCACAAAAGAAAGATCTTGGGGCACTAGAGGAACATGAAACATCATTGTCATTTATATAAACAGATTTGAAGAAATCAGCAAAGCCATCTGCCACCCGCTGAGAGCCCACATAGGTTTTATCATTATTTATCATTTCCTGAAGAATATCTGGCGAGTCCTTGAGTCCTTTTAGGTATGACCAAAACAACTTAGGATTACTCTGTAAGCCCGATTGAACCTCCTGGAGATAATTGCTATAAGCCAGCCTGATCCTGTATTTTACTGTACTTCTAAGTGTAATATATTTTTGACGCCAAAAATTAGATTTATTCTTTTTAGATTTTAGAAAATATTTATGTTTTTGTTTAATCAGTTTAATGATTTCTCCATTAAACCAAACAGGATATTTCTTGTCTATTTGTGTAGATTTTGGTACACTCTGCTGAAATATATTATTAAGAATATTGTAGAAAGAATCAATGGCCAAATTGACATCAGCAATACTATCCAAAACAACCCAGTTTTGGTTTTCGAATAATCTATACATTAAATGAAAATCAGCCTTTTTGAAATTAAATTTAGTTGTTGATACGACTTTACAGTGTTCGACAGGGGACCTAGTTTCCAAACAGATACTCAGGCAAGGATGATGTTTATCAACTGGCAATAGAGAATCCTCTGTTCTGTCAACCTGTACATTCTCAAAAGAGGCAATTACAAGATCTAGAATAACGTTATTATGATTCCGTATATGATTCAACTGTATGAGGTTATTAAAGGACAAAAATGATTTTAACAGGTTTAAATTATTGTTACATGATAAAGTGTTAACATAGCTGGGAATGTTAAAGTCACCAACTATGATAAATTCCGAATTATTACCATCAAGAAGATGCTCCATCTTTTCAAAAAATTTCTCATAAACATCACTTGGGCTCTCGGGGACAAAGTAAGCCACTACCACAATAAGAAAAGACACAGCATTTATCTTTATCTTTACACACAATGCCTCCTGATCCTCATCAAAAATCCTAACTTCCGAGACTATGAAAGTGTCTCTCAAGAGCAATAATACCCCTCCTCCTTGGGTTTTATTAGTTATTAATCTATCACGATCTTTTCTAAATGTGGTTCTATTCTGAAAACTAAATTCGGGATTATTTATTGACTCATTCAACCAAGTTTCAGAGATTGCTATAATATCATAATCATTACTTAATATATTTAACTTGAGTTTTTCCAACTTGGTTTTAACCCCTCTACAATTCTGATAAAAAATTGTTATTTTATCACTTAAGTATTGGCTAAGTTTTCTAGTTCCTGTTGAAAATTTATGCTAGTGGGATTTGGAGAAGTAAA